ATATAAGGGGTAGTCAGTTAGGAAACGATGAAGAAGAGGTAGGAAGGGAAGGTGAATTCTTAAGCGCCCCACTTCTTTTGGATTCCCTTCGGCCAGGTGCAAGGATGCCATTAAAGAGAGGCACGCGTCCACTCCGGGAGGCTCCTCCTCCGGCGCGGACGTTTAGAGACAAGTGTAGCCAATTAGGGCCTTGGGCATTTAAAAAAAAAAGTATTGCCGCTCGTCAACTCGTAATCACCACTAAATAACTGGTGCCGAACGTGCGCCGACCGTTTCGCGGCGAGACCCTCGCGGACAGCGCCTGTCCCATTCACGCTTATCAGAGCAGGGCCGAGAGACCTTCCGGAGACCATCCGGATATCTCGAGAACCAGCGAATAATTTGCAGTACGTTATAGTATTAACAATTGGTCTATCTCCTTGTTAATTTTAGACAGAGTGAGATAATACAAACTAATTCCTCTCAAGATAAGCACCGCCCGAAAGAATAATGAAGCATAATCAATACCTGATAATCATCTTTATTTTGAGGTCTCACTTCCAGACTCTTTTTTATTTTTTTTATTTGTCCGGAGATTTTGATACAAGGTACGTTTGGAAATATGTTCTTCGATTAGGGTTGCGATTCGCGCATCAGGCCTGCCGTGGCGTCGTTGCAGCGAGTGCACCAGAGATGCATCTCGCTGCACCTGCGCAAGCGATTTCTTTTCCGAGCCTCGTTATCGACACGTCTTTGTCGATTTTTCCCCAAGATAAATTGGGCGCCGCGGATTTCGCGGTGGGTGATTTCTAACGTCGATCACTGCCGAGATCGCATCTCCCCCAGAGGCAACTCGCGAAGACGACGACGGCGACGACGACCTCTTGCTTTAAGGCATTCTTGACGCTCGCCAAGATAAATGTCGCTACGCGTCCCCACTAGATAAGAGAGTAGCGCATACCTTCGCGCAGGCATTTGCCGACTACCCTTCCCATTTTTAGCCTCTTCAGTCAAGATCGCCGGATTATCAAAAAGAATGGCCCGAGCGGCCTCTCCCGTCTGAAAGCAGACCTAACCTCAAAATGAGAAGGGAGGAAACAATATAGAAGGGAGGAAATAAAATGCCACAATGAAACAAACAATGACGAATAAAATCGATCAATTGGTCCAGATCTGATTTTTCCTACATCACGGAAAAAAGAAATAATGGCTCGAGCAGCGTTTTCAGCCTGCGGGCAGACCTAACCTCAAAATGAAAAGGGGGGAAATAATATAGAAGGGAGGGATTAAAACTGAAGCGGCTCGTCCTTTTTTGGGAGATTTACGGGATTCTTCCCGACTCTCCCGCTCGGGCAAGACTCTGAGTCCTTCGGGAAGATTTACAGGTGCTCCCTCCCTTCCCGAGCTCGCGCGCGTGCATACGTACACGCATTCCTGCTGCCAGCTCCGTTTCTGGAGTTATGACATTATATCGCACTTAGCGAAGATGCTATCTGGGATCCGGCAACACGACGAGCTGCCCGTCGACCATTAGTATCGATGTTCTCACGCCTTTGTAGCGTTACGATACGGGGGTTACATATTGTTGCGGTATCGCGCGCGCCCCCTTATCTTCTCGCCGCGATCGCGACTATAAATAATGATTTATTGAAAAATTGATCGCTCGATATTTCTCCGATCGGAGCGGAGCGAATTGCAAAGAGTCCAGGTCGAACCCTGCCGATAGCTGAAGGTCCTCGTCGTCTCGCTGATAAGTGATAAGGCACTCGAGTGCATCGAAAAAGTGCATTTTCGAGGAGGCAAATCCATCCTGCAGAGTTGGCTCTCGTTTACCTTGTATTTCCAAACGACTTCAAAAAAAGGAGGTTTTCAATTCGACCCGAATATATTTTTTATTTATTTTTTTGACGTACATTCCCGCATAATTTTCCCCGAGTTATCCGATTTAAATGATTATTTTTTTTCTCTTACAGAGGGTACTTTCGAGGTAGTCTCAAGTCGGCTTTTTTTATTACAAAGTTTCCTTCTCACTCCATTCGGGAATTCATACGCATCTCGAAATGATCCTGAAGACGATCTCGAAGACGACCCTGAAAACGATCCCGAAGAGTCAGTTTTTACCCAGCCCCGTCTTGTCCTTCTCCTTCTCCTCTTGGGAGAGAACCTGAAGAACACAAAAATCACTGCCGCCTAATCTTGACGAGTGTCTTATTTGTATCTCCGGCGCGCGCACTTTCACCCGGGACTAATTGCCTCTTTGTCGATTATCGCGCACGTGCGCAACGCTTAATTGCAACGCCGTCGCGGTAATGCGGCGCTTGACAAAGAGATAATTATTCGCTTGAAATGCGCATAATCCACGGGACGACTCTTCTTGCCAGGGTGGCGGGCTCCAGTCTTCCTTCCAGGGGAGATTTAATTTAATTTAATTACGACAAGTACTCGACGCGAGTCGAAGACGAGCATCAGGCTCGGTTGTCCAAAAACGCGTCACGGTACCATCTCGAGGATCTGGAAGCAGACCTTGAAGATCATCTCGAAGAGGATCTTGAAGAGCACCTCGAAAACGGCCCGCCGACCCGAATTTCGTGTTTCCAGGGAAAGGTTTTCTCGGAGGGCCTAAATTTCGTAATTACGTCGCTCGTTTAACGAGTCCCACGAACGCTGGGTGACAGCCGAGCGCCATAACGCCACCATAACCATTAAAAAGATCTAATGGCACCGGTCCTTCAGGTCGATGGACCTCTCCTCGATTTCCCGGCATTCTCTCTCTCACCTGGGCCCGATGTTAACCCCGGGAATTACCTATAATGGCGCATAGGTACCGCGATTTGCCTTCTTATTCGCGCGTACGGACCCAATCGACGTCGACGCGCGTAAAGAGACCTCGGCGGGGGCGAGGGTAATTGATAATGTTAAACGCCGGGGTTAATTCCTCGATTTATGGGCGGAATGTATCGTGGATTTTTCGAATTCGCCAAATTGAGGGATAATCGGGCTACATTAATGCTCCTTGACGGAGGAGGGTTTGTGGTTAGGTACCTAGGTACTTGGGTCGTGGCTAATCGGAGGCGGGACGAGGATGGTTGGTAAATGCCGAGGAAGCTGTCAAAACCGGTCAATCTTCCGTTCGGATTTCAAGCTCGTTTGGTTTTACGTCCGGCATAAAATCCTGCACTCGGTCCCACGGTATCCCTTTAAGTGATTCTTGTACTTGGCGCGAGACGCAGCCGAGTTTCTCGACTCCTGAACTCTTGAGTGTCGGCTGATGAATATAGCTCGAATTTTCACCCACTTTTTTTTGTCTTTTTTCAGCACTTTTTTTAAGGGGATGTGTAAATGACATCTAAGGGAGTAATTGTTCATGACACTTTTCTCCGAACTGGGTGTACGGAATCGTTTCAAACTTTACAACATGAATATGGAGGCTATAAGGAAGGTTCCTCCGCCCATGAAATATCAATTTCTAAGGAAAATTATAAAAATGCCCCTAGACAAATTGTTTAAAAATTGAAATTTCATGGGGGTCAAGACCTTCCTAATGGCCTCCATATTTGTACGGTGGAGTTTCAAACGATTCGGTACACCCAGCTCGGAGAAAAGTTTCATAAACGAGACCACTTCGACGCCACTTTCACATCGCCTTAACGCGAGCATTCAATTTACAGGAATTCCCACAAATCTCTAGCATAGCTCACCCTGTACAAGATGGATCTCTTCGTCGCTAGAAAGAGCGATAAGATCCCAAGTCTTAATTCCCGTGGGAATTTATGACACCCGTGCTCCGGCCTGCGCATACCGAATATTTCCTCGACATAAATACAAAACCGAAGCGATTTAATTAATCTCCGTAATTGTCAGGGACTCTTTCCCTCGGTTAATTTCCATCGCCATAAGAAATGCAACCCCCTCATATTTCTGAAAAGTTAAATCCTAATATGTCCGACGCCATTGCTCGCATTTTCTTACAACGGATGACAATAATTAACCATTTTTTATGCCCAATCCGATTCCCTGGTAAATCGGCCGCGGAATGGACGTTACGTATGTCGACATTCCGGGAATTCTCAGAGTCGAGGTATCGGCTCTCATGCAAGTTTAATTAGTATCCGTAACGTCGGGGGTATTTAACGTGGTCGTCGCTTTTGCGAGCCGCCGCGGCAAGAAGTCGCGGAGGAGACGTGCATGAATCTCGCGCCGAGCATTTACAATATTCATAAGCGTTAGAAAATACCGGCTCGCCTCGAGTCTTGTAGGACGATCGTGACATGTTTCCCTGCATAGTCGTCCTCGAGCAGATATATCGTCCCCGGATGATTTGTGGAAACGTCCACGGTCTACGCCGGGCACGACGTCCCGATATATCCCTAATATACGTGCGCTTCCCGGGTCTTCTCGAGAAGGGAAGAGTGTGACCCGACGCCGAGATCTCCATTATATTTTTATCCAACATAATTTCAGCTCACCGTCGAAATTTATTCCGCGATATAACGCATTAATCTCATCAGCCTATTTCCATATCTCTATTACACATCTCATGAATAATTGGAGATTATCGTGAATTTTCATTTCGGGATAAATTATCAACGCATTAAGGGGACGTGAAAGTGGCATCGATCGATCATGAAATTTTTCTCTCTGAACTGGGCGTACCGAATATTGACAAACTTTACAACGTGAATATGGAATATCATTTTTTAGGAAGAATTAAAGAAATGTTCATAAGCAAACTTTTTTCTCAATTGAAATTTCTAGGGTTTCGGCACCTTCCTTGCAGCCTCCAGATTCACGTTGTAAAGTTTGAAAGGATTTGATGCACCCAATTCGGGGAAAAGTTTCACAAACGAGGCCTCTTTGACTAGAGAGAGAAGGGCTTCACATCGCCTTAATATTAGGAATTTATTTCATGATATTTTATCCGTGATATTCCTCGTGTATAATATTGATAGATAATTTTGTTCATTGTATGTGAGGTTTGATTTGGGCATGAAATTAATTTTGGGAATGTCTTTTGTCTCCAGTATCTCCACCGCTGCCGCCAACTCGAGATGTCGCGAGGGAGCGAGAGCAGGAGCGAGACAGAGACCGGAACCGGGAGCATCGGGACCATCGGGAGCATCGGGAACATCGGGAGCATCGGGACCACCGGGAACACCGGGAACACCGCGAGAGGGAGCGGCTCCAGGAGCGCGAGTCCAGCGCGAGGGAGCGGGACCGAGAGCTGCGGGTCCGCGAGAGAGAAAGGGAGAGGGAGCGACAACGGGAACGGGAGAGGGACAGGGAGAGAGAGGTATCGGTTTGCGTGATGGAGCCACCTGATCCTGTATTCGTCTCCTCGTCGGCGGCGCTTCTTGCTCTGCAGAGGATAAAGGAAGCTTCTTTGTAAGTACCCGAGTAATCCACTTTTATCATCGGCAACAATTAAAACGGATGAGAATTCATGTGAGATTAATTAGACAAAAAAACGAACAAATATAAAAGAAGCAGCCGATTTTTCTAAAACGAGCTTTACCGAAAAACAGGTCTACTGTGAGATAGTTATCACCTGACTGTTTTCGATAGTACGCTTCTTGATCTGCACGGACTAATGAACCCCCTTGTAAGTACCCGACTATTCTGCGCTGATTCTCGACAATAAAAAAATATTGAAATTCGCACGAAATAACTTCTGAAAATCCCTCCAAGGAGTAAGAAATAGCTGAGTTTCTGAGATACGGAAAACTTCATCTACCGTGAAAGACAGCTGCCATCTAGAAGTCTTTGAAAATGCACCCCACTCTCCTCTCGTTATCTCACAACAAGGATAAAAAAAAATTGAAAAATTCGTATATCAATTTTTAATGATTCTCTCGATAAAGTTTCCTCGATCGCCTGTTGGATCGGTAGAATTGCATCTTGCCGAGATGAATTTTCTGCCCAGGGTCTCGTCTTAGACAAAGGTGCTCGCAGCATCTCCTCCCCTCTCGCGGGAGTTTTCTGAAGGAGGAGCTCTTGAATCGTCGCTCTTGTCTCATGCCGGCCGTCGCGGTAAGCGCCTTAAGGCCGTTAGATGCAAGCTGCCAGGAATAGTTATACTTTTGGTGGGATATAAATTTCGCCGGTGCTTGTAGACGCGGTACCCGAACCGAGCTCGTGTCGGTGCCCGTGTCTATACACACATACTCTCGTGTCAGCGCCCCCTGCAGAGGATGCGCGTCCGAGCGGTACTTTACGACAAATACTCGCCGGTCGCTTCTTTACGTATCTATCAGATCTCGTATCCCCACGGCCTCCACGATCCTGGTTCTCAAGAATAATTCCTTGACATTATTTCTTAAACGCGTAAAAATTAGCCCCGATGCCAGCCCCCGCGAACTGTTGGATATAATGCAAGCCGATCAGGTATTGATACCTAAGCAGTACCTACCCATGCATTCACATCCTCCTATGATTTAACAAAATGCTTCGCATTTTCGCAGTTTCACATTTTCGCATTTTCGCATTTTCGCAGTTTCACATTTTCGCATTTTCACATTTTCACATTTTCGCATTTTCACATTTTCGCATTTTCACATTTTCACATTTTCACATTTTCACATTTTCACATTTTCACATTTTCACATTTTCACATTTTCACATTTTCACATTTTCACATTTTCGCATTTCACATTTTCCGAATCGTTTCAAACTTTACAATGTGAGTATGGAGGCTATAGTGAAGGTCCGACACCCATGAAATTTCATGTTTCGTATAAAAAATTGAAAATACCTATAAATAAATTGAAAAGATAAAATTTGAAATTTCATGGGGGAAGGACCTTCCTTAAGGCTTCGACATTCACGTGGTAAATGATTCGAACCGGTAAGCTCAGTTTGGAAGTTTCATAAACGAGTGATCCCTCAGATGCCACTTTCACAATCCCTTAAGGCGTGCATGTAGAAGACTTCAGTCTTAAGGTCCGAAATAGAGCTACAATCCTAATTCTACAGATGTCCTTTACATCTATTTTAAAACCCATTTAAGGCCTTCGAATGTAGGTTTCAAGTAGAGTAAAATGTTGGCTCTACCGTGAATATGTATGCCACTGATTTCTTTTCTCTCCGAGGTATCTCGTGTTTCCATCGCATTTTGCTGGAGTTTAAGGTGAAGGAAACGCAGCCCTTGGCGGTCTCGGAGAGCAAATCCGCTACCCGGCAATACCGGATACATATATACGGCAGAAATGAACACAGGGATGAGGGAGCTGCACTCGGCGTTCGCGCGTAATTCCACCTGAGGCTCGCATTACCAGTTCGACGCGGACACCGAACCTGGAGACGCGTTGCATTATCCTCAAGGAAGCGGATTTATGCCGGTCTAAACACTGCTTCCACTTAGTTTACGATACGCCACGTGCGAATGTCCTGTGTCTTGATAAAATACGACTCGCGCGGGAAAACAGCTATTTCCAACGTATTATTTCGCCAGCCCGAGGAGCTCGTCTTCAACCGTGTGAACAAGTTGAACATCCCGAAAGAAAGGACTTCCAAAGAGATGACAAGACTTTCGGGAATCCGCGAGGCCCTTATCAATGAGAACCTTCCGCAAAAAGAAATTGAAATGACCACTTTTCACGGATTTTCCATGAAGTATGGTTCCAGAAATTGTCGAATAAAATTGCAGAGCGTCAATTATTGATTTTCTTTTTTATTTTCAAGCCTAGCAAGAGCAAAACCTTATCAACAATGCTGTCCTTTTTTTCCCGTGCAGCGGTTGCAGTCAGGCGACGTCGCCGATTTCTTTGTTTCCCTCTGAAGGAACTGCGCAACCATCGCGGCGTTTCTAAGCAATTAGAATTAAAACCGGTAATCTGAAGAGTCGAGAAAATGAAGTCCAGGGTCCTGGACAGAATGGCGGATATTTAAACGGAGAAGCTGCGCAAAATGGGGCGGTCTCCGCCCATTGTTGCGGAGCGCCTTGTGGGTTGTGCCAGCGCTTAAATTTCTATGATTTACGAGAAATGATTCTTCGATGGCTTTTACTGCCTGGGAGCTTTCGTTGGAAGCTCCTCGCTACTCTCCCGGGATTTTCTTGGCGATCGCGAGATCGACAGCTAGAGTTTTGTTATCTCGCCTCTCGTATCGGTGATAACTCATCCTCGCCTTCACCCTTGTATCTTTGTCAGATCGAAGAAGCACAATTTTTCCAGATTTTTTTTTTTTTCATCTTATCAAGGATCTTTCCTATCCTTTTAATAATTTATTTACGAGGAGCACGATTTTCCTCGTACATCCCACGTGGAAATATTTTCTGCGTTGACGAGATCGTGTAAACAAATCGGGGTCCGTATATACAGTTTGATAAAAAATTAATTGACACTAAATTAATTTCCTACTATTACATACAAATTATTCATCAAACAGGTGCAATCATGGTTTTTGCAGCCGCTTCTTAATGAGCTGAATGGGGCTGAAATTTCTGTAATTATTTTGCAAAATAAATCCTGGTGGGAATATAGGATTTAGAGGTAGGTCAGGACTCATACCTCACTTTAAGCGTTAAATGATGTCCTTTAGCCATTTGAAAATTTCAGATAAATTACGTATTTCATACTAAAAGATGTATCAATATAAACTTAAGTCGGGACTAGTGCGACTCTAAGAGCCAGGAACGTCGCGAAATTTTTGCACACGGATTCAGGGACAAGTCAATCTCCCCTCTTCCTCAGGGTCCGAGCATGAAGACGTAGGTATGCGCGATATTCCCGCGTTGGTACCCGCTCGAATGGCCGGACTTTTTGCCGGAAGGCTCGTCATAACGCATCCTACAAGACGTCCGTACATGAATCGCATTCGCTGGACGGCTCGCAAAAAGGCGAGCGGCCATCGGCGATCGGCGATCTCCGGTACGACTGGCAGGTCGGATCATGACGGCAATCGAGCCTCGGTGTGACTGCAATGACTGCACTCCCTGAAGGATATATTGCACCGACGACGTGTCTTCGCTGATCGATCTCCTCGGCCGAGATCTCGCCGGCCGCGCGATAGCCGCTCCCGTTATCGCTCCTCGTTTCTTGCGGGCCAGCTTCCGACTTCTGGATCCACGATCGGATCTCGGGATCGCGAGGACGGAAAAAAGATCGAGACGATTCAGGGAATCCTTCTTGCCCTCGAGGATTTACCCTGATATCGTCCCGAGGGGATCTCCGGATCGATCGCTTCGAGATCACCCTGAGTGCTCCCGTGACGATCTTCGATCTCCCCCACGAGCAAGAAAGCATATAATTCAGTGATTAAGGGACTGATTACGAGGGGGGTGATTTTCTTCCCCCTATCTGGAGTCTTCCATAGGCAACTCGCATCAGGAGCTTTCGGTCTTCCAGAAGAGAAGAAGAAAATATTCATATTTTACGGACCCCGTTGACGATTGGAATTTCACAATTTCCCGGGAAGATGAAACGTGTAATTCGTTAGGGGTGGTTTTCTTCTTTTCTGATTTTTCAGAGTTTTTCAAAAGTTATCCGCTTTGGGAAAATCGTCGAACTTCCCGAGGAGGATAGGAAATATAATTCAGGGTTTATATCATTATTTCGGAAGGGGATGATTTTTTTATAACTTTTAGAGTCTCTCACAAGCGACCCACGTCGGCCGCTGGAATTTTCTCTCTTCCGAGGAAGATGAAAAATATTTTTTTGTAGTGAAGTAATTTTTTATAAAGGGGATGATATGTTTTGTTTTTCCAGAGTCTTTCACAAGCGACCCACGTTGGCGGCAGGAATCGGGATCGGGGCCAGGGGCAACGGGGGCGTCGCCGGGAACGGGGGCAACCTGGGGGTGGACGGCGAATGCGGGGACGCCTTGAAGAGGCGCAAGGTCCACCGATGCGACGTGGCCGGGTGCGACAAGGTGTACACGAAGAGCTCTCACCTGAAGGCCCACAAGAGGACCCACACCGGTAAGTCGTGCCCCCTCCTCGAGTCGTTCCCTTTGTAGGTTACAACCTCGACGTGGAGCCTCCTAAGGGTCGTAAGGCGGCCACCTTACGACCCGAAGGTACGAAGTACCCTCGCCGACCCTGAAGGGGGGAAAGAAACCGATGACTAATAAACCGACGTCGCTAACGACTGCTCAGGTGTTTATACCTCTGATACGCGCCGATATGCCGTTTTAATGCGGATTCCCATCTCCAGGGTTTCACTTCGTATTTCGCCGATTTTACGGGTCCCTCCTGCGATTAATACACCGTCGGCATGCAAACCCGCGACCGACATGCGTATCTTTTGGAGAAGCCTCGAGACCCCTTTTAAAAAAGTGCATCTGAACTGCATTCACGTGGCACCTCCACGGAGAAAAAAGATTCATTGAACCAGAGATATCGTTTCTTAATTCAAAGTATAATTATTTGTGTATAATTATTGCGCCCGAGGGGGAGATTATTACTTTTACGAGGCGACGTTGGTTTATTGTTTCTCGAAACCGCATCGAGAAGAAGGATCTCGCTAAAAAAGGAACTAATTACCGGTGCATTTGCCACGCGTGGGTTTGGGCCCCCTACTTGTCGTTTAGCTCGTTCGGGAATAAATGGCGAAGAGGAAATCACTTTTGTCCGCCTCGGCGCATATTGGCGTCATTAAAGCGATTTTCCCACGGCAAGTCATCGGCGCGTCATTACCGAATACACGGCGCGGTTCTCATGGAAAATGCATGCACCCCGAAGGGGGGCTCGACTCGATGGCTAATTGTGCAGCCGTCTCGACTTCTCGATCTTGCCGTCATCCGAACTGCATAGCTAATCTCGGCTCGGCTCGGAATCGATCAACTTAAACGGAAAGACGAAACGCCGCTAATGTCGTAATTAATCTATCACGACTGAGAAATCTCGAGTTCACGAGTCTTGTTGGTCCATCGAGCACTGAGCGATGCATCCGAATTATCTCTTGACCGGTTAATGGTTTTCGACACGAATTGAAAATGAAGACTCTCCATTATTTCGGATTGTTTCGGATTATTTCACATTATTTCACATTGTTTCACATTATTTCACATTATTTCACGGTATTTCCGATTATCCGTGATGTTGCCTCAACGGGGACGGTTTCACTCGCAGAAAAAGTACTCACAGTCACGGCGAGAAATTCTATCTGTTACCCTGTGAAAAAGAAATTCAAGGAACCAGGAAAATATTTCTCTGGATAGTACCAAAGAATAATTATTTGGCTATGGTAGAATCAGTTGTCACAATTACGAAGAAACGCTGCGTCGAATTAACTCGATTTTATCTGAGTCGAATAATTATTCTTTCAACTGACAAAGTACGTCTTTGGCACTTTCGAAGAAATATCGTCCAGGCTGAATGAACATTTTCTTTTCAGTGTACGACAAACATGAACACCTGAAATATTGCCAGAAGTGGAAATTAATTTTTTCCCGAAAAAATCCCGCCTCAAATTTTGAAGCTTTTTTTTTTTTAACAAAGAGGACTAATGGTCACATCTACGTTCGGTATGATTGCAAACATTTTTTTTCGTGGATGCAATTATTCCTGCAGTAAGCGGAAAAATTTATCAAGAATATTGTCCCTTGCTAGAAGTGCAAATTAATTTTTTTTTTTCCGTGCAGGTGTGCAAGCGGAATCGGGAGTAGAGTCGAAAGAAAAGTGGAGAAAAATCCGACTTTGTATTTTGAGAGCCCATGGGGAGAAACTTGCTCTCGTGACCCCGGGTTTCGACACGAGGTCGGTAACTCTTGACTCGCGGAGAGAACCTAGAGAATTTCCGGTAGAGGTGATCGTGAAACGGCGCCACCGTCGGGAGGAGCCGTGGAGGGGAGGGTGTGGTCGTGGGAACCAGGATCCTTGGTCCTGCGCCCGGGATGCACCGGGGTGCACCGGGATGCACCGGCGTCGAGGTGCTCAATCGATGCTGCCCGTGACCCTGACTCCTGGGTCTTCCTCCCTGATCTTCATCCTCGATCAGGAACCTCCGATCCCCGGGCTGTGGGTACCGAGTTGCTCCCATAGATGCCCTCGTGTGGGAATATGAGGATAATTAAATTAGAACGGTTAAATTTGCCTGTGACTTTAAAAGTGGTTTAAGGTGTTACGAAAGTGTCATATGTATATATACCCTGAGAAAAAAATGTCCTCGAATGAAAGAAATATTTTGTTCAATAGTATCAAAGGAATATCTTGTTAATTCAAACAATCATTTCCCTCAAACAAAACTCAAATAAATTGCATGCTTACAAATTTTCTTCCGAATTGTGGTAACTTATTTGAGCCAAATCCGTTGAATTAAAAATATATTTCTCTGGTTCAATTAATTTTGTTTTTTTCCGATGTATATATCAGAACATCCAGATATATTTAGAAAACTTATCTTCAAACTGGGTGCACCTAATCGTTGGGAACTTCAGCACGTGATTATGGAGGCCTCGAGGAAGATCGTGGAGCTCGTGAAATTTGATTTTTGATAAAAAAAAATCATTTATTTATATATCTCAGACTAGAACCAAGAGTACATGGTAGGTGAAATTATTAATTTCCCTACATCCTTCTGTCCTAACATTTAATAAATATTATTAGCGGTCTTTAATGGTTAAGTCGGAGTAAAAGATAGGAACGAAGAGTACCGAATGGAAGACGCGTTCCCGAAATTTTGCATATGCAATTCCGTGGTGCAACGACAGCCTGGAAATTCCTGAAGCTCGGTGCATGCTCACGGTCGTTATTGCTCGCAGTTTTACGAAATCGTGAGTCGCAAAGGCCAGAGTAAAGCACTCCCTCCTGGCATTGTGGTTGGCGCGGAAATAATTGTTTCTGCGATTGTTACCGTAGGTAACCGGGCTCCGATCTATCATTCTAACGCCGAGCATTATCCGGATTTCTTCCCGGGGAGGGTGCTCCGTCTTTTTCCCACCTTTCTCTCCCCGACAGAGCCGCGATGTGGGAAATGCCAATTCATTGATTACCGTAATCTCTCCGTTTCTGCTCCGGTAAATTGTGGCCGCTCTACGTGTCGTACGACTTGTCCCGCCGGCGCGGAATTGATTTCGCTCGAGGAAGATCGATGCCCGGTGTAAGCGAGCCCACCGCCAACGAGAGACCCGAGGGCCTGGATTTTGCAAGTGAATACTTCATCTTCGGAAATGCCAACCCGGTGCCAAAGTGATGGATGACGAGCTCCAGTCATTCCCCAGAGCGAGGGAGAAATTTTCGGAAAAATCCTGACAGCTCAAAAATCCACGGCCTCCAGAAATTCGCGTAGAGCCGCGAAGCGTCTCGATAGCTCGTCATCGGGAATTTTTATTTATTTTATTCATTAGCAACATATATAATTACTTTTTTTCCTGGAGATCGCGAGTCGTCGCGATAGCTCGTCGTCCGGAATTTTTATCTTTCGTGTTCATTAGCATTTTAAATGATTTATTTTTAATTTCTTGAAATTTCACCTCCTGGGATGGAGACGTCGAGATCGGAGGTCGGTGTCAAAATCGCGACGCGGCTTCGGTTCTCATGAGCTCCCGCCATAATTTGTACCGTATTTGCATAGACCGTGTAACAAGTATTATAATGCCCACGGGGCAGCAGCCATTCGCTGCTGGTTAGCAGCATCCAAGATGCACGATGCGCACCGACACGGAGAGTACTCTGCACCGGGAGGGATAGTAAGCGATAGTTGCGCGATTAACCGTTGTCAGAGGTACTTCATCTGTAGGCCGTGCACGTTCGGTACCTCATGGTCTCATCTTCGTCGACCTCTTATCTGCGGCACCGCGGAAGAAATGTCATATTCCGTTCCCAAGACCGAGCCCCGGGTTGCGGTACTTCCTCGCCGGTGCTAACGCAAGGAAATCGCTCTTCGATTTTAAATCCCCTTAAAAATGAGCCCCTTAAAAGGAAATTCCCTTTTAAAGGGACCCATACAACAGCCTGAAATAAAAAATTTCCTCACCCAGTTAGGAGAAAAGTTACATAAACGAATAGATCCTCAGATGCCAGATTCAGACCCCCTCAAAAGAATTGTGGAAATTCGATGTATGCGTTTAAATGTAAATTTTCCACTCCTGTACACCTACATAAAGTTCAGATTCATTTCTAATTTAATTAATGGCTAATGCAAAACATTCCTCTGGAATTAAAAATGTGGAGTCTCGACCGGTCGATTTTCATTCGAGGGGCTATTCACTTGGAAGTCAGTGATAACGATTTGCATCTTTGAGAGCCGATTGCCTTTGATTTCATATGACAGATAACAATGCGATTTAGTAACAAGTAACGTTCAGACTTAAAATTGTGATAGTGATTTCCAACGATTTCGAGTGATTTTTTCTGGCAATTTCCAGCCGATTTCCACATGACTTCAAGTTTTAAAATGAATGATATCCTGGGTGAATGGCCCCTCGTTTTAATGTTGAATTTTAATTCGTGCATAAATTGTTATTAATTTCGGTTAACGGCGAATGAGAAACTCTGCATGTGCAGTCTGAGACGAGAGAGATTGGAGAGGCTCTCGGATAACTTAGCGTGATCTATGATAGACAGGGGGAGGTTTGGTGAAATCTCGTGTATTAATTATGGCGAAGTGGCCGGGGCATAGGCGGATTCCGTGATATCGAAAACATGCCAATGGTAGGCCCCCTCGCCGAGTATATCGTGTCATGACAAACCGCAGCATCCCTTACAAGACTCATCATTAACCGTGCACTTATACGCCATTGAAGGCTACCGCGGGATTATTCCTTCCTGGGTTAAGGGTTCCCTGCAACTGCAAATTCCACCGAATGTACCCTGCGTGATGAAGTCGTATACGGGTCTAACATTACAATGTACATGAAGAGTCATTTCACCCTAGGCTTACATTTTGCGATATACAACGTTGTCGACACACTTGTTAGTCCTCCTCGTGCGAGCTAGAAGATGCCCACGGGGGATAGGAATTATTTGCAGCCAATGGA